AAATCTCCAAATTAACAATCCTAAAATCATCCATAGGTGTTCATGATCCTAACCGCATGAGAATTTCTAATTATCTCATCCTAAATCCATGGGAAAGTTAAGGTTTACATACCTTGATCGGAGCTTCGAAACGGAGTATTTTCGGCTCTTTTCGTACTTCCGAAAGCTTCAAATTCGTTCAACAATATGCAAGGAAAGTGCTACAATCTTCGAATCGAACCGAAATCACCTTGAATGAAGAATCACCACTTGATTTGCTCTCTTGAAAATTGATATGCTCTCTTCCAATCCAACTCCAATCAATCACCAACCTTGCTTCAAATGAGTTTCTAAACATTTATAGAGATGATTGGAATATTCTAGAAATGAAGTCCAAGCCCAAAATAATAAAATCCATTTCCCTTGGAACTTTCTAGATTATTCATGTATCTTTCCTTGGAAATGTCTAGATTGTTCATGTATCTTCCCTTGGAAGTTTCCAACCAAAATAGCCTTCCAAATGCCTTGTTAAGTGGTTTGGATTAGTGACTTACATTTCAAGTAACCACTTTTACAAAGCAAGTCATGAAATTATTGCTCAATTCAAAAATGTGCCAATTCCATTGTCTTTAAAATGCATCTTACAATCAAATTGGTATGTCATATGGCTTGTTTGTGACCTCTAACCCAAAATTTGATTTTTTTTCCACCACTTTATTTGACTTATTCCCCTTTTTTAGGCCATTTTTATCACTTTTTGGTACAAGCCTTTTTAACATCTCATGACCTCCCTCCTAGTCTTAAAACATCATTATAAGCAACTTTGATGTTGAAGATTTTTCCATTTGAAGCTTGGAAGTAGGAGATATGGCCTTATGCTTGAAATGACATATAACCTCCATATAACCAAAATGCCCTTGGCTTGTCAAGATCATAAGTAGAGCTCCACAAATCAGATTGAGGTATACCATACCTTTCTAGAAAGCTAAGATCATGGGGAACAACTTTCATGTTGGCCAAAGATCCATTAGAGACTTGTATCCTGAATTATTCTGCCTGGAAGTTTGCCCTAAATCAGGGGATTTTACTCAGAAACCCTAATTCAGAAACTTCTCTTCTTCTTGATTTCTTTTGATTTCTCCTTGGCACAACACCACATCCATATCCACATACCAAATGATGGATCCCCATTCTTCACACAGGCCTTGATGTCCCTTCAATCAAGTATTTGACCTAGGGTTGACCTAAGGTTGACCCGGATGAAACCCTAATTGACTGTCTTCAACTGCAGCTCTTGTAATCACATCAATGACTTGTCTCACTTTCAAAATGACCCTCTAGGTCTTCCATGATGTCTATATACATTCCATGATTTCAATTCATAGTCCACAACTTCTCTGATGATCTTCAAACCCCCTCAAGATAGGAGAAAAACCCACTGATTGGTCCACTAACTTCTCAAGCTTCAATTTCTTTCTGATGACTTGGATAGGCTTGAATTTGAATAAGAACCTCTTGATATGCTCATAGAGATAAGAATGGCATTTGGTCCCTTGTTGGATGGCTTGCCCATGCTATGCTATGCAGATGAATGAATTATGTACATGACCTAATATGCAAATGCTAAAGCTATGAGACATAAAATCAGGTGAAATAAGTTGGTCAAACTTTGGGGTGCAACAGGCACTCATTGATGAGTTTCATAGTACACCAACTTTGGGTCACTCGGGTGTCAAACCAACAGTTGCTAGACTTGCTGCTTCCTTTGCTTGGTCGGGACTCCACACTGAGGATACAGATTTTAAACACTCCATAGTTTGTCAACAAAGCAAGTATCAAACACAAAAAAAGAAGGGACTGTTGCAACCCTTACCAATACCAAATCAGGTGTGGGAGGAACTTACCATGGACTTTATAACTCATCTTCCAAATTCTTTTGGTCACACAGTGATCTAGGTCATCTGTGATCGACTCACGAAGTATGTACACTTCATTGCTCTTCCAACTCGATACACTGCACAGGATCTGGCAACAAGATTTTCTGTTGAGATTTGTCGGCTCCACGGTATTCCCAAATCTATTGTCTCGGACAGGGATCCCTTGTTTTTGAGTTCATTTTGGAAACAACTGTTTAAAGTTCAAGGGACAAAGCTTAAATTTAGTACGGCTTACCATCCGAAAACAGATGGACAGTCGGAAGTTGTGAATAGAAGCTTAGAAACATACCTACGGTGTTTTGTTAGCGACCATCCAAAGCACTGGTTCAAATACTTGCATCTGGCCGAATTCTGGTTCAACACGACATATCACTCGGCTATTAAGATGTCGCCATTCCAGGCTCTATACGGGTGTCCACCTCCATCTATTCCGGATTACATCAAAGACTCTGCCACCATTGATTCCTTGGATTTATTCGCTTCAACATCGCCAAGAGATTTTGAGTCAGCTCAAACACAACTTACAAAAAAGTAGGAAACAAATGGAGACTTAAGCCAACAAATAAAAGACTCGATATTACCTTTCAAATAGGAGATCTTGTACTGCTTCACTTGTGGCCTTACCGTCAATAGACTGTGATGAAGAGAACGTCACAAAAACTTTCGAAATATTTTCATGGACCATTCAAGATCATCCGACGCGTGGGAGAGGTGGCCTACGAATTGGATCTACCTTCATCTTCCAGGATCCATCATGTCGTGCATGTGTCTCTCCTTCGACCCTTCTTTGGAAAAACGAACCAACACCATGAGCAGGACCTTCCTTTACACATCTCTAATATCTTCCTGCAAGAAAAAACAGTACCCAATACTGATGTTGTTAGATCTGATCAAATAAGCAAACAACTTTCAAACGGAGGTGGAAAAACAAAGATGGCTACCACAGAACAAAACATTATTGTTTTACCTGCACCGTTGATGACTGAAGTTGGACATGCAAGGCAAAGAGAGAAACTGTTTGACAAAGAGAAGAGTTTGGAAAAATTGTCTCTAAGCGGCAGAGGTACTTTGGAGACCACAAAGAAAACTGAATCTAGGGTTACTTCTTCTTATATATGTCCCACTAACTCTAAGTCTCAATCTTTAAGTACAATTACAGACCCCACAACGGTCACTTGCTTGAACCCACTCTCTCATTCACGTGCGGTTACCCCTCTACTTCCTTATCACAAAAATCCTCCAATATCTAGCCTTTCCCAATCCGAAATTGCCACCTCACCTTCCACTCATAACTCTCCCTTATCTCTTTTTTGTAGCCCCCACATATCCCCTACCGTAGCCACCCTACCGCATGCTGCAAACTTCCCTTTTCCCATGCCACATTAATGCTCCTCGGTTCCTCCAACCTTCTCAAATATCCAGCTGTCCCGCACCAGCTTTACCTCCCTTATCTGCCAGATGTACCCCACCTTTCCTCTCTCCCTTATCAGCCAGCTGTACCGCACCAATTCCTATCCATTTATCACCAATTAATGCCTCCAACTCCTATGTCACGGATAGTTTTTCCACACCGCCAATGCATGTTACGGATCCCTCTTCAATATGGGCCTCACACAAAATTGTCACACGACCCAATGCATCTTTGAACCTTGAGGACAAGGTTCCCATTGAATCAAGGAGTATTTATAAGCCACAGAGTTCTAAGCCCAATAAACTTATTAGAGAAAGGAAAAAGCCCTTTTGGTTTAAAAATTTTCATCATTATTAAGTGAGGTTGTCTTTAGTATTTTATCTTTAATGGGTTTAAAATAATTCTTATGTTGGGCCATGGCCCATAGTTTAGAAACCCTAGTATTTATATTGTAATGTTGCCTATTTATGGCTAAGAAGAAAATATATGTTCAAGCTGTTTTAAGTTTATCTTCCTTTTAATTATTCAGATTTGATACTATCCTAGTGTAGATTTATCAGATTACTTTTACTTTTATGAAAGAATGAGTTAACTAGACTAAGAAGTATAGTTATACTTTTATGAAAGAATGAGTTAACTAAACTAAGAAGTATAGTTATTATGATTACTTTTACTTTTATGTCTTTATAAATGGCTTATAAAATACTCCTCCTGCTTCATATATGGTTTACTGGTTCTTTTATTCATTAAATTTTGTTGTCAATATATTTATACTAAATAGCAAAGCTCATAAAACCTATATACAAATTTATATATTTTAATGATATCTTTAATTTTTCATATATATTAAAATTGTTTACTATGTTGTTATTAATACATATATTTTTATCGAATAAAATTTAATTTAATAATATAATATAATAAGATAATGAAATCACAAATTTTTTAATTAAAAATATCTTTTTAAGCCATTTTGTAATTATTAGCTAATGTAATAGCTAATTTACCTAACACTCAAATTAACTTATATGCTATAAATCATAAACTATAAACTAACAATTAGTTTTATCAACCAGAGTTTGTCTCATTAATAAACAAGTAAATAAAATTACTAATAATTTGAAAATACCTGAAGAATTTTATAAAACTCAGTGCTACCCTCCACTCACACCGGCTATTTTGCAAAGTCCAATGACATTCTAACATCGAGTTTTACAAAATTTATGGTATATAGGAAGGAGAGTATAGAAAGAAACCCTCTAAAAAAAAGTTTTAGGAAGGAGAGTATGTTAGCAAAAATTAGGTGGTGCTAATAATTGCTCCCTGGTTTTTGTTCTAATATATTTTCTTCTCCACTAGGATGTAAATTGTGGCTTGGCAAAGTTAAGTTAAGAAGCTTCAGTTATAGCTTCGCATGTAAATACAGCTATTCCTTTGTAAAATTATGGTACTTATGATTGCAAGTCTAGCACGGTTGAATCTTATCGCATGTGTTGTATCAGTATCATACAATAGACACACCTTCGATCTGAAGTGTCGGCTTTACAAAGAAGAAGCCATGTATGTAGAATGAATAACTTGTTATTAATGACATTCTAGAAAACATCTAGTTTTCGGCCAATACTGCGTGTATGCAGAGCAGAGCACATTAGCAGACAAAAGAATGAGACTTATCAAATCGAAACTTCATTGTATTTGAATACGCAGTCGTATAGGCGACCCCCGAGAAATTGTGCAACCTCCGGATGTTTTACCTGGAGAAAAATAATATGAAAAATTAGGATAATTAATTTGACCATAAGTTTTCTTTTATGAAACACGGACACATACACCGAAATTAACACATAAATAAACTGAATGTAATCACAAATGTCAGCATCAATGACATGCATTTTTTAGAGGTGTCAGTCTTACAATAGGTTTTATTTATTGTTATGAGAACTGAGAAGTAAAATAATACGGTAAAATGCATATTACCATTCCAATCTTAAGGGAATCACATTTAAATTGAGCATACAGATTTGTTTCGATTCCTCGGCCCTGTCGGAAGAAAGATATCATTAGTTTCTATCTCGTTGAAATTACAGTAACTGTTTCCAGCATGAACAAATGCAGTGAAAAAACTCACCATCCCTTCTAAGATGACAAGATCTGCATCGCTAGCAAGGTAAGCAAGCTCTTGCGACACTCTTGTAAGATCAATAACCTGATATCCATCGAATAAAGCAAGATTCAAATACCGTAATTTACCAAATTAACAAAGAAAAAACATCGATGATTTTCTTACCGGTAAATCATTGCCAGAGTTGGCAATTAAAAGGTTTGATGAACTGACACCGACAAGGTTTCCTTTTTCATCTTTCAACTGGAAACAAATGTAATCTGGTTAGCAAAGAACATGATGATATCAAAAGTTTACGGAAAAAATGTTTCTCGTTACCTTTGATATAATATCAACTAGCTCAGGATATGTCACATCATTGATGGAAGGTAAGTCATTTGCAGCCAATACAACCTGCATTCAAACAGAATCACTTAACTATACCGAATTGGAAGCTGTAAGAACAGCAGATCAAAAGCAGATTCAGTTTCAAACATACTTATTATCCACTAAAGTTCTGCTAAAACTAATGAAGTCTGTTTGGATAAACAATTTAATTAAGTGTTCATAACATAAATGCTTAACATACAAGTTTTTATGTATAAACTATTTCTAGAATAAAAAATAAAATAATTGAACATTTCTTTATAAGCTGTTTTCATAAACAATTCTAGAAAGCTTATGAAAAGAAACTGAAAACAACTTATGGACATGCTATAAATTGTTTCCATTTTCCATACGCTCTCAAACAGTCTCGCAAGAGCTTATTGTTGCACCCCAAATTTTGACCCCTTAGATCTTCATCATCATTTTAGGATCATATTCATTTGATTATCTAACCTTAACCTATTTCAAGTTTGTCTTTGTTAAGATACAGGTGAATTAGGGTTCCGTACAGTCGGGAATTGAAGTCTCGACGATTTAATCAAGTCAATGTATTGGATTGATTCTCCGTGAAATAAGTCTCCACATCATCAAAGATACTCCATTGGGTCAAGTATGAATCCAATTTGAGGTTGTCACCCAAAGATTAAAGACAATGCAGTTCAGGATCCCCGATTAGAGTTTATGATCCGGAAAAGTCAACCGTAGTTTGACTTTTGATGTAAAAGGTGTTCCAGTGAGGGAATTGTAGTCCATGAAGTTCATATGGCTTAGTGAAGTCCACTCAAAAAGTTTCAAGGTCTCAGAAGACCCAGAACATCAACAGTCGACTCGGTAGTCATCAATCGATCGTTCGGTTGACCGAAAAGTCAACTCCTTGACCATAAGGAATTTGACCTCAAAGTCTGAATAAAAAATGTTCCTAATGTTATATTACACTTATCCATGAAGTTTCATTACCATTGGATCAAGGATTGAGGAGTAATCGAGAAATCGAAAAATTAGGGTTTTGAAAGGGGCAAGACCATAACTCCCTAACCACACATCCAATTGAGTTGGTTCAAAGTTTGTTGGAAAGGTCTTGACAAGTCCTACAAAAGTCTCAGAAAATAAGTAGATTAGGAGTTATGATCAAAATCATTACAAGAGGAGAAAACACTTAGAAAATTTCTAAGTTTCTGGCCTTTTTAGGCATGTTTTCAGCCAACTTTGAGGGGATTTTTGACCTAGTTTCACTTGGAATTTGAAAATTTCAAAAACATGAAAGTTGTAGAGCTCCACGAGGGTTTTCCAAAAAGCGCTAGAACTCTTCCATAGCCCTTGTGAGATGAGAGTTTCGAGTGGAGCAAGTTGGTCCTGAGCACTAGTTTGTCAACTTTTCAAAATTCAACATAAATTTGATTTCCAACCATATGTTTCATTTCCAACCATAAAGACATATCTGGTGTGGTGTGTTAAGATTAGGTTTGAACCAGATGTGGGGAAAATCAAGGCAAAACTAAAAATCTCACCATAATCCTTTTGTTTATTATTATAAAGCACAAAAGTAGATGTGTAAGAAGCTTTGGTTTTGCTGCAGCCATGACTTGTCTCAGCATCCCTATTTTTGACAGCACAGCCAGCTTAAGAATAGCTGGTATGGAGGGCATTAACTGTTGGAGTTAACCTTAAACCAGCAGGCATAAAATCACTTTTTGAAATATCAATGTTTTTCCCACCAAAGGCAAGGTAACAACTCTAAATGGCAATTATGCCCCAACTTTCCTTGGCCTATAAAAAGGAAGTTCATTCCACTCTTTCAATCACACCAGAGCATTCTAAACCCCAGAGAAAACACAGCTCTCATCCTCTTCCCCTCTTTGCTTGAAAGTAAAGAAATCCTCCAAAACCACTAAAAATTGCCTTGTGCAAGTGTCATACCAGCTCCATTTCCAATCATTCAACCACCATAGAAACCATTCAAACAACCTTAAAATCATCATTAGAAGGTGTTCCAATCTTTAGTTTCATCAAAAACTCCACAAAACCAAAAGTCAACTTCTCATACCCTCTAGTTTGACTTTTCTGCACAAAGTGATAAAACTCACGGCATAAAACAGTTTGAACCACTTAGACATCTTGAACACCTTCCATTGGTGTTATACAAACTGTCTAAAACTTCAAACAACAGTTGGAACCTCATCTGCTCAAACTGTCCTCAAGACGTGCTTGTTTCTTCAAAAGGAAATAAGCTTCACAAACTTGTTCAAAAGGAAGGATCTCTGGTTTTCTTTGCTGCTAGCTTGCTCAAGGAGGTCTACAAGAGGTATGTAGCCCAAAACCTCTTCATTATGCATCATGTCTATGATTTTTGGTTTGTTTAGATGGTTTAAACATTGTTATGTTAAACTTACAACTATGCTGTCCAAAATTTGTTGTGAGGTTTGAGTTTGTCCACTCGTGTACAAATGTTGTTTGGTTTTACGGTTGTTGCCTCTGTTTGCATTGTCATGCCAAGTGTTGTTGTTGCTTCTGTTTTAAAAAGAAAAGGAGGATTGTTTGATCTACATTGTTAAAAAGTGTGGCTGTTGGAATGCCATTAGGGCAATGTTGTTGTCTTTGTAAAGGCATTAATATAGGTTGTGGAAGTATATGATGAGCTTAGGTTTAGCATGGTTATGTTGAATTTATAGTCATTGATATCAAGACTGTTTTGTTAGAGTTAGAGTTGCTATTTGTAGGACTATGGAACTCTTGTTGAAACATGTTATGTATGGTGGACCAACTTTGTTATGCTTTGGTTCTGTCATGAGTCACTTGGAGTTTGTCAACTCATGTGTTAATGAATGTTTGATTGTCACTAGGGCAATATGGTTATGTTGTCACTAGACTGTTGAAGTGTATGGTATACTGTTGTATTGGAATCATGATCTTTGCTGTCAAAACTGTTTTGAAATGAAGTCTGTCAATTCATATGCCTTAAGTCTGTTGACTCTTTGTTTGACTACTTTGTCCCTAATGTGGTACTGCTTAAGTTCTAGTTTAGTATCCTCAGTTTGTGACTTTAGGCTTTGAGTTTTAGCTTGATAGTTGTGTTGGACTTTGACAATGTGTAGGTGGTGACTTTGTTGTGAATAACTGATCTTAGTTTGGTTGGTGTTTAGCTCATGAGGATGATTGACCATTATTGACATGCTGGTGCTTTAGGTAGGGGATTTTGAGTCTAGGTTGAGAAATTCAGGTGTAGTCATAACAGATGGGGTGATTGACCATTATTCTGCTAGTATGCTCTGGTGAGAAGGGGTTTTTGTTGTAGTCATAACAGATGGGGGTTTAAGTTTCATTGAGGTTACCTTAGTACTTATTTCACTGACCAAGTTTTGTTAAAGAGTAGACCAACTTATTTTCCCATCAGAACCTTACTAAATTCTATGTCTTATGTTTGATGTAGAAGAAGAACATGTCTGGGTCTGTTCATGTTGACATCTTTGTTTATGGAATTCCAGCAGTGGATAACTGTCTGTGTATTGTAAACCTGCCATAATTCTGTTTGTTAGCATTATAGGCCAGGGATTTATTTGTTCATATCAACTAATCATGTTTGCTTTTGAAAGACATTTCCCTGTGTTTGCTGTCCAATTCCTTAAAGGTTTGTCAACCTATATCTTCATCAGGATTTCAGTGTGTTTAGGATCCATGTTTGATAAGTTTGTAAGCTGCTTGTTTGTTTAAAATATGAAATTTCTGCATTTGTTTTATGTTGTTGTTGAAGCCATTGGTGAATATGTTGTTGCATTAGTCTGCTGCCAATTTCTGTCTTGAGGTTTGTCAACCTCTATTCCCATCAGGATTTCAGTTGGTTTCATGTCTGGCTGTTGAACCCTTAATGTTAGATGATAGAGCATGATGTTTAGGTCTGCTCAGTTCAATGTTTGGGTTGTCATCACTTGTTATGAACATGCCTATGTTGGTGTTTTAAAGCATATGTGTCTTGTTTTGTGCTTTGCTATGACTTGTGAGTCATGTTTGATCTTCTGCCATGAACCTTTTGTTAGCATCATAGGTCCTTGTTTCATTTATTCATATACTGCTGCAAGTCAAGTGCCATAACTTAACAGCCCCTAGATTTTTTAGGTCTTTTACTAACAGATTGGTTTAGAGGTTCTAGATACTCTTGACATATTGGATTTGCTTTGTTTGATGTTGTGACCCTTCTGCTATGGTTATGTTCAAATCATGCTCATAATTGCAATTCATGTGCCAAATTCTTATTCTAATGTCTTTTGATCAAACTTTCTGTTGAAATTCAGTCTATATCATGTTTGAAACTTGAGCAGGCCCTCACTTAAGCATGTTTGCATCTGTCTTGGTTTTGGAGTTTCAAAACGCATTTCAAACATCCAATTGCATGATCATTCGAGTTTTTATGATGTGTGCATTATTTGAAAACATGGTTGATACCATTGCAATCCTCATGAAAGTTCAAACAGTTTTGACTAAAATTTCATGAAAGATGACTAAGTTTTGAGGATTTGAGAATCAAACCGTTTTTGAGTTTTCACTTTGAATTTGCCTTGCCTTGGCCCAGGATTTTCGCTTTGTTAAGTATATGATAACTTGGGGTGGCTTGATATATTGGATGTATCGCCACCCCAGTGGTTAATGCCTCGCCCATAAGAACTTGTCATGCCATGAGAACCCCGTGTTTGAGGGCATTTTTGCTTCATTTTCATGATTTTTATAGTTTTTACTATTTTATTCTCTTTGTCCATAAGTTTAACACATGTATAATTTGGTTTAGTTGGTTGAGTTTTGAGCCTATGACCCCAAGGTCTTGGGTTCAAGCCTTGGGGGAGGCATTTCTCATTTTTTAGTAATTGGATTCATTTAATTTTTATTTAATTGTCATTAAATTTCAAAAATTCATAACTCCTTCATTTTTAATCATTTTTAGTGATTCTTTTTTCTAAATTCTTGTATTAGTAAATACTTTCATATAATGCTTAAAGAATTCTAAAATTTTTATTTTAGAAACACTTTGTATTATGGGGAATTTGCGATCCGTTTTAGGGTTTTAACCCTCCTATCTTTCAATCTTCATTTCAAAACTTTGGATATCATTTTCATTAAGTTTATTTTTGAAGTTTGGTTTGAACTTGGTTTATTAACTCCTTTGTGTGCTTGAGTTTGAAATTCAATCCTTGCTTGTAAGAATTTGTGTTTAATCATCATTGAAACTTGAAAGTTTTCTCCCATGAAGTTTTTAAACTTCTCACTTACATTTGTTGTGACATTGTTTGTTTAGGCCTGATGTTTGTAAGTATACATGACATCTTGTAAGCCCTAGGAAACCACATCTTTATCTTTGTTAAGATCCTCTTGCCATCTTTGTTAAGATGTACCCCGTCTTTGTTAAGATATGCTTTGGTTTTAACCTGTCATTAAGTCTTGAAAGAACTTTCCCCTTCATGATATTGTAACATCTTGATACTTGCTTTGGTTGTGACCATCTATCTTGATTGAAATCATTGATATTGTAATATCTTAATACTTGCTTTGGTTGTAACCATTTGCCTTACTCATAATCCTTGCTTGATATTGTAATATGCTTGCATGTTATTGGTTGTAACCATATCTCTTGTATTCATAATGTTTGAATATTGCTTTGTTAAGTTATTCCCTCAAGTGATGGAACTTTTTAGTTCTCATCCAAGTTGCTTAATTCTTTTTCCTTCCAAAGGAAAGTCTCTCTATTGACCTTTGGGTCATAGATAGCTCATTAACCTCATAGGTCTGGATAGAACCTTCTCTTCTTCCCCCTTTTGGTCTGGAAAGAACCAATTGGACTTAAACTCATAGGTCTAGATAGAACCTTCTCCCTCTTTTAGTTTGGAAAGAACCAATTGATTCTCGTTCTTCGGTTTGGTCCGAACTACGGACGCTCTGATTTCTCATTGGATAATGAGAGTAGGCACAAGATGCGATATCTTGACGAGCAACCTCCCTTTAGGTCTGGATAGAACCTTCTCCCTCTTTTGGTCTGGAAAGAACCAATTGATTCCCATTCTTCGGTTTGGCCCGAACTACCGCCGCTCTGATTTCTCATTGGAAAATGAGAATACGCAGGCACAAGATGCGATATCTTGACGAGCAACCTTCCCCTTAACCTTCCCTTTGGTCTGGATAAAACCAAACAACTTTCTTTTTGGTCTGGATAGAACCAATTGGATTCAACCTTTCAGCCTTCTCCCACCTTTTGGTCTGAATAGAACCAATTGGTCTTATAATGCAGAATTAGGTAGAGTTTGGTTAACTCTATGTAAGAATCATGGAGATAATTACTTACTCCCCTTTCTTGAGTGTTCAATATAGATCTAGAGAGTTTTCTTAAACTCTACACAAGCATTATAATGTTTGTTCCCCTTTGAACCTTGATCATAATCAAGTGTTCTTCCTCCCTAGTGAGGTGAACTGCAATTGTTCTTCATCCCTAGTGAGGTGAACTACGATTGCTCTGATTCTATCCTAGTAAGAATACGTAGACACAAGATGCGATATCTTGACGAGCAACCTTCTCTTTCCCCCACCTTTTGGTCTGGATAGAACCAATTGGTCTTGCAACATAGAGATAGGTAGAGTTTGGTTAACTCTATGTAAGAATCATGAAAATGATTACTTACTCCCCTTTCTTGAGTGTTCAATATAGATCTAGAGAGTTTTCTTAAACTCTGCACAAGCATTATTATGTTTGTTCCCCTTTGAACCTTGATCATAATCAAGTGTTCTTCATTCCTAGTGAGGTGAACTACGATTGCTCTGATTCTATCTTAGTAAGGATACGTAGGCAGAAGATGCGATATCTTTGCGAGCAAACTTAGAAACTATCATTAGGTCTTTACCTATACCTTTTACCCAATTCCAAATCATAGCAAACATTTAGCAATTATTAGCATGCAAACAAACAAAAGGTTCCTGTAGAGTACTACAGATGTTTAGGAAGTGAAACACCTACCCTAAACATAACCAATCCCCGATCCCCGAATCTCTTAGCGTTGTTGTTATATCGCGCAAAAGGTTCTTTCTTTAGACCTTTTATTTGGATAAATTAAAGGCCGGTTGTGAATTTAAGAATTAAAGTTCAAGTTAATCAATAGCTTGATATCCCGATTCTCACCGCAACACTTATGTCAATAGATAAGTTTAAATGAGTCAATCCAAATAGGTTTAAATACCTATAACAATGCAGTCAGAATAATATCACTTGTTATCCATCCGAGGGATGGATTAGAATCAAAATGACAGAAAAAACCGCTTTCATGGCTTTGGTTGAAAAAGGGAGGTAAACTTCTTCTGTTAACGTGCAAATTGTTCTACACTTTGGTGCATTTGGTTAAAACTTAACTTTTGTACTTTGCAACTACACAGACTCTTCAAGGAGCTTATGAAATTAGCTAATGACATATTCTTTTCAACCTATTTTCATAAACTTTTTAGTAGGGCCGTCTTTAAGGGCATGTAAAGAGGGCTACCACATAAGACCCAAAATTTATCACGAGTAAACCTTAACTAAATAGGGTCTCATAAAATGTTTGTCACGGTTAAATAGGGTCTCTATTTGTTTTGTCATGGTTAAACTGCAACTAATCTACATAGTGCCTCGAAAAACATGAGACGGCTTTGCTTTTTAGAATAGCTTATGAAACAGCTTACACGAAAACTGAAATAGCTTATACAAAAACACTTGCATGATAGGCGTTTATACTTAAAGCGTTTAACTAAGTTGTTTCTCCAAAGAGACCTTTCTCTTCTTTCTAAGTTGTCTTGTGTTTCTTCTAGTGTTTTAATCCTCTCATCTCGTCGTAATATTTATCTTTCGTCTTAATGAATTTTCATTTTGCAAAATAAATAAACAAAATATGGACAAACCTGACTCCCACGCCGAAGAAGCTCCCTTGCAAATGGTAAAATGCCCAAAATAATATCAGCACCAGAGTTATCGACAAATATAATAACCTGCAACATGAAGGGAACACATTACAAAAATGCCACTGCAGAGAGTAGGCCAGAAGACAAAAAAATTCAACAAATCATTTTAAAATTGTATCGGTTATGCACACGAAAACTTGCCTTCTTCCATGACTTTTTGCTCCATTTCAGTTTGAAAGCATCAAGATCGTCAATAACCCAAGGTCGAGGTACAAGATTTTGACAACTTGCCAAAAAGGACATTCCATCCTTAGAGAAAACCTCTGCGAGCTTCAAGGAATTGTGAAACAAATATGTTAATACATAAACTATAGTATTGTAACACCGCCTCACAAATTTAGGGACAAAAATAACGATTTATTCTAATTTTGGTTAGCCAAAAGTTATCAAAAGAATGCAAAGGAAATCATTCTACCTGCGCCGAGCCAAGATCAAATATGTTTCCTGCAAAAATTCCCCTAACTAGATGCTCAATTCGCTTGCCTTCATCTTCAATGGCGTCATTAACATGAAGAACCTTCTCAAACAAGGAGATGGCTTTTGCATTTTCCTCATCCTATAGCACCCAATCAGAAAAGTGATTAGTATCTCAATGAAAATTAAACTACATAGTTCATTGAGAAAGTCATTTATACGACACAGCCTTCTTTAATTGAAATCGACAACAACATTTGTTGAAATTTCACGCCACTTTGGCAAGTAAATGTTCGATTTTTGGTCACCGTCCTCCAGTTCCAAAGAAAGGGGAGTCAGGTAATCCGGAGTTTGGTCAGAAGGTAAGTAAATGATTATTCCAATTCCAAATATGAGTCAAAAAATGTAGACATTTTAACTTTTAAGGTCAACTAAATAAATCTGATAACAATTGCATTATACTTACCTCCATTTTCATGCAAGAATTTACACACGCCAACCCCCTACAATTAGATAGGCACACATGTTTCTTCAACATCGAAGTTCTCAATCATATATCGAGAAAAATAACAGTCTATTCAAATTTCTTCACACTACAATGCTATAGTACCAATATAGCCGTTATTCTAATGTTATCACTTTATACTAAATAGAGTGTCTCAAAACAATATAATTTGTTAAAATCCCGCTATGTTATAGTACCGTTAAAGTGGCTATTTTACAACACTGTCGCATTTTATCATCTATGGCTGCATAGCAGTAACAAATAACAAATAGGATCCAAAATTGTAGACAACTTTACCTTGACCTTTTTGAAGATATCACTGAATCCCAATTCTCGGAGTATTAGCTCACGGAGTCTGCATAGAAGCTAGCAAATCGCCACGTCCGAAAAATCAAAAATCAAAACAAAGAAGGTAATTGACAATCAAACTATTAGGGTATAATTTCAGCAATAGTATATAACATACAATGCAATCAGGTGGTCCGCCGTGACTTTCGGGATCTTTCTTGAAATCTTCAAGTATATCAGCATACCTTTTCCAGAGAATGCAAAAAAATAGATATAATTAAGAAAATCACATACTACAACCCAAAAAAAGAAGAATCAGATCACCTTTGAGCAAATTTTTCAGCTTTATTTGCAGCATCGGGAACAGAAGTATCGCTCTCTGCACGCTTCCTGCCAAATCAAAGTTAACAAATAATGTAAACAAGAAAACAACAAGAATCACTACCACCAATTCCTGAAATCGACCCCGTAACTGCATAGACTAATCACTGGTACTAACTTAAATCACTTAATCCACTTAAGTGATTGACCTATTACAACATATATTTTTCATATGCACCAGCCAGAGATCAAACCCTGAACCAAGCATCTACTACTTGAGATTCATTCTCTAATCCTATTGAACCCACCAAGGTTTTAAAACAGTTAGTTACCGTGAAAACGGCCCTGTTAAAACAATATTCAAATGGGTCGATATCGATACTGTTATTCACTGTTTTTACAATGAAAAAGAAATTATAGTTAATTCAAACTGCAACGACCACAATCAATATCGCAACTCATATACATATCGAAATCGCAAAAGCCTTTGCGCGATTGTTATTTAAAACCTGGAACCCGCATAAACCATTTCTAATGAAAAAAAAAAAACAATATAACAAAAAACTACACAATAAAAAAAAAATCTAATAAACAAGAAGAAAAAACACAATTTTTACCCCAAAAACAATATCGCAACAGTTATTTAAAACTTTGGAACCAACATAAACAATTTCTAATGAAAAAACAAACATAACACACAGCTACTCAACAAAAATTATATCTAATAAATAAGAAAGAAAAAAACAATTTTTACGACAAAGAACATCAACATAAACCATTTCAAATCAAAATGAACAAAAGGGTATACAATAATCGATCTAAAACAGCGAATCAGATGCCAAAATAATTATAAATAAAAAAATCATTTTTTTTGAAAAACAGGGTTAAAAAATATACATACTTGAAAGAGGGTATTGAGTTAAGAAAGAGATTAATCCAAGAAATTTCGTTGGGAGTAGGTTTTCGAGGATTATCGGAAGGGAATCTATAAGGAATAGTGCAAGCCCTGTAATGAGAATGAATTGGTGTTAACAACAATGGAAATTCAACGAGCTCTGATGCGCTTTCCATCTTGAGAACGAAAATGGAATCGATTGCAGAGAAGAGGTGATGATAATGTGAATTGAGTTTTTCTGAAGGAAGAAGAAGAAGCTAAGGATTTCTCACTTTTTCGCTCACTTTTTCGCTCACTCCTTACGCTAAAAACTGGAAAAACTGTTTCTTTATTCAAAAGAAATCTTTAGATTATTTTAATATTTTATTTTAAAATATGAAGAAAAAAAAATATTAAATAAAAATAAAATAAAGTTTTTTATTGGTTAACATAAAATAAAATCAGCGAATCATAAATCTATCAAAGAAATTATTATTATTATTTATGTAAAGTGTGTTTTCTCATAATAAATAAATAAATTTACTCATACAAAATTAGAAATTTTAGGGTTGCGTCATTTTTTAATCTAATAACAAAAATTACATATATTAATATTGAGAAATGAAAAATTAAAATTTTAATAACTTAATATTTATCTTAATTTCGAGATTTATTTTTACTTCTTTAATTAACTTAAAAATTTGACCTTATTTTTTAAAAAGGATCATATTACTCCTTTTTATTTAATTAATGATAAAAAATTTAGAAATTAATGATTAAATTTGTCCTAAATATAAAAAAGAATTAACATTATATATTTTTAAAAATTAAAAATATTAATATAAATATTTTTTAAATTGAGAAATCAGAATAAATTTTAAGGTTAAGCTATAAAAAAATATTAAATCAATTTTAATTTATGTTTTTATATATTAAATATATGTACATAACTTAATATTTAACATTTCAATTATAGTTAGGACATAAAAGATACTAATTTGATTATTGTTTTAATTAAATAGTGTATTTAGTCTTATTATTTTAGAAACATCTGTGGCAGATCTTGATAAAAATATTAAGGGAAGACGTAAATATAAAAAATAAAAAAAGTTATAATATTTTTAATAAAAAAATATTGAATAAAAAAGAAAAAAGAAAAATATTGAAATATAAAACCCAACATATTAAATAACTAGAAAAATAATAGTTTAACACGTTTAACTTATCCGTAAAATATATTTCAAAAACATAAATAAAAAGTAAAGATCACTTAGTATCATTATCAAAAAAAAATGTGATTGATTTATTTATATAATGTAATCCCTCTCTGAAAATGTAAAATATCATATATCTAATAAAAAAACATAAAATATATAAGTATAATATATAAGATATTCTTTCATTTTATTAAAAGATATAATCTCTCTTTTAGGGGTGTAAATAAATAACTATTTAATATGAACCAAACCATTTTTATAATTATGGTTTATAAATCAATTTATTTTTATGATATAGTTTATAAACCAAACCACTTGTTTCAAACCGATTTAAAATCAATTTTAAATGAGTTTTAATTTTAATCTAAATTATTTAGTTAAATTTAAATTTTATTTCCTTTAAATTATATCAATTTTTAAATTTAAATACGTGAAAATAAAAAAAAACATTTTAAAAAATCTAAAAATAAAAAGTATTTCAAAAAAAAAATTAAAAATTAAAAAATTCTAAAATAAAAATTTCCAGCAAATTATATGTAATTAAAATGGTGACTAATATGTTATAATCCATATATTTGTATATTTCAAAATCTCTATCTATTAGTGGAGAAATCTATAATATTTATGATCATTTTTTCATAAAGCATTAATGATCTTCGAAGTTTATAGATGAAAACTAGTCAAATCCAACTAATCAAGTTTTGGTATATTTTCTTGCACATGTCAAATCAAACTCGATGCAGTAAGATCCGTATAATTAACTACTGAAAGTTCATATAATTAACTGTTAAAAATCCATATAATTTGTGAAGCATTGTACACCATTTTAGGTAGTTAGAGAATTTATAAACAATTTCTTTTTTTTCATTTTGAAAAATAAAATTCTTAAATTTTTGTAAAATAATTTTTTAATGAAATTAAAAAATTAATTTTAAAATAGTTCAAAATATAAATTTGGTTTATAACGTTTATATGATGAAACATGAAAAGAGACAAATAATAAAATTTAGTTACCCAATAACTAAACCACATTATTATTATTATGGAAACTAGTTTATATTTGAATAATAAAATGGATAACCACATTTATATTTTAACTTTTGGTTTGAATTTTTAAAAATAAAACAATTTAGATTCTAATTTAATTAAGAGTAATCGGTTTTTTTTCACACCCCTACTGTCACAATTGCGAAAAAGGGTCGACAAAAACAAACAGAAGAGTCGCCATCGAACGTTATTTATCCCAAAGAGAGGGAAAGGAAATGATCGAAGAAAACCTAAAAGAAAGGAGAAGACAAGGTCATCGTAACCAAATCTTGGGTTCGGGAGTCGGTTACGCAAGGGGGAGGTATGAGCAGCCCTCACGTCCGTTGTACTCAACGGGATCCACGCTTGTTATCTAATCAAAGGGGTGTAAGTTATCTAAAAGCTACTGCTAAACCGGGAAAAAGGAAAAGAAGATACTTGATAGGACATCGTCACCTTATGCCTACGTATTCCTTCATGCAATGGAAAAGTCAGAGTCTACGTAGTTCGGAAAACTACGGGTGATGGAGGGAAGGTTGTTCGCCAAGACATCGCCGTCTTGTGCCTACGTATCCTCATCTGGTACGAGAAATCAGAGTAAACATAGTTCGGGAAACTATACCACTGGTTGATTAAGTGTTTTTTATGAGCGACGTTAAGTTCCCATTCCAGCAGTTAGGGACGATGTCTATTTGCGATAGAACGGAAAAACAACGTACTCTTTTCTGAAGATGAAATTTGAAACAACGATCCCGAAGGATAAAAGGTTTGAGTTTTGTTTGTGAGTTTTAGTCAAGTGAATTAGTTTGCTTTGTGATTCACGTTGCACTAAAAACTATGACATATGAGCGAATGTGTCGCATATCGCCCAAAGGGCATACACTAAACACTCTACATAAGTGAGGAGAAACCCCCATTCATCATTTCCCACATACTTAAGGCTCGTAGCGTACAACGTTCATCGTTTTTATTAGATGAGTTAGAATGATTTTGAGATGAGAAGAGAGACGCACGAAAGGTCTAAGGGAAACTCAGCACTAACGTTGTCATGCAAAATGGTCCTAAAGTCAAGATTAGGAGGGAAACTACTTAATGTTGTCATGCTTGGATTGAAAGCCTAGTGTCTCTCCTACTCCTATCTTAAACAGAGGGACTAGGAATCCTAAGGGATCATGTGAATACATGGGGAATCAACGAGTAAACACGAAGCATCGCAATCACAAACAACATCTAGTATCGAAACTCAAATAAATATTCATGAGAAAATATATACAAGTCTCAATAGAGAAATATTCACAAATGTTACTCAAGAATTAAACGGAAACTAATACTAAAATCAAAAATAAAATTCAAGTTAATCAACAATTAAATTCAAGGTTAATGTTAAAAGTTAAGAAATTAATTTCTAAAGTTAATCCTAATTAACCAAAATTGAAATAAATTTGAAGTTAAAATCTAATCAGAATCTAATTAAAAAAAGGGTCCTAAGTTAATAATAAAACTAAAGTTAATAAAATCCTAAACAAAGTTAATTCTAAGTTAATCCAAAATTAGAGTTAATAACATAAATCCTAAAATTAAAATTGATTAGTAAAACAAAACTTAATTACATCAATATTAAACTTAACTTACAAAATTAATAAGACAAAATAAAAACAAAATAATAAAATAAAAGAACAAGGGGACAGAAAAGGCTTGGAGGGTGTGTAAAGAAAAACAACGTATGGGCCAGCACCCCAAGCTCAATGACCTAGATAAAGAAACAGAGGGGGTGTGTTTGGGAATCCGGGGTGACAAAAGCAAATGGGCCTTGGCCCGGCCCATGAAACACGAATGACCTAAAGAGAGGACATCAAAAAACTCGACTAATCTTTCCTCTTCTCCTTCAATATCTCAATGCCACTTTGCCTCTTCTATCTTCTCATCATCGTCAAGTTCACCAAATTGCGCCATGATGTCCTCTCTCCATTCATAAATGCCACCGGCTGCAAAATAACTTTCACCTTCTCACATCTCCTTCGAAACTCGACGCACTCTCAAACTCCCTCAACCGTTATCCATTGACAGTCCCACACAAACAAATCAAAATTAAACTACTCAGAGACGAAAAAATGGGAGCTCAAACTATAAGGATTTGGCTCCGCTCACAAAAAACTTACATTGAAACTTCAAGGAATAAGTAAGGAGAAGAGTTATGACCAACCTACGAAGCCGTGATTCACTTCGGTTACGCAATGGAGAAGATGAAGAAATAACACGTAAGTTCTTGCTTCTTCAATTTATGGCTAATCTTCGTACTCTTCTTCTACTTCCCTGTTGCTGTTGATTTCCTCTTCATTCTAATTTTTCACCGAGTTACACTGATGTTGTGATGTGGAGGAGACGAAAAGTATTGATGAAGGTTGTTATTGGTGTAGGTTGTTTATGATGCTGTGAAAGTTTGTCGTTGAGTTATGATTTTGGGGATGATTGAAAGAATTGAAAGAGAGTTTCCAAAGGTTGATTATGGCGAAGAGCAAAAAAATAAATCTGTTGCGAAAGTGGTTTTTTTAGCCCTTTTTAATACGGGTTTTCTTTATGTTGCAGGTTTGTCAAAAATGGAGGGTACATTGGCCAGCTTCATAATAAGGTGATGATACACGTAGTTGGCGGTGGCTGCGAATCATGAAAGTTGTAAGGCTACAGGTTGTTGCGCGTGGTTAGTGGTAGCAAACAGTATTACGGCTGTACGAGTCTGTTGGCAAGAGTTATGGACAAGTTCGTATTTTGAATTGTAAGGTGGGACCGGCTTTGCTGTGATAGAAATCGTACATTTGCATGTGATAATGAATTAACGTGTTTCTTTGAACAACTTTGAACTCCAGTCTTACTATAAACAACCCTTGATGCGAATTTCTCTTTTCAAATTGTGTTTATAAGCCAAATTATGAAAACAATGGCACTTGCTTGTATGA